CTACTTCAAAGTAGTGTACATAATTGTAATTGGAATGATTGTCATTGAAATATGCTCAACACAGGAAATACATTAGTAAGCATTAATCAACATGATATAATCAAAAAATTACACTTACCCAGTTTCTTATGAAGAACATATCCATTTTAGTCTTTAAGTAACAGCCTGAAGACCATGTAAATGTATGTGAACAAAATGTAATCTACTTAACACTTATTGATATATCCATCAATTAATCAATTTATGTCTCCATTTTTATGACAGATCAAATTGTGCTGAAAAAAGAAAAGTACTATAATTACTGTGGATGAAATAATAAAATAAGCTGAGACATCTGAACATCATATATGATAAATAAAAAGCAGACATATCCTTATTCTGCAGGATTCAAATCACTGCATTACATCAAACCTGTAACATGAGCAAGCACATACAATAATCTGATTCAACCAATGAACAACATAGCTCAAAGTCACTGATAAGAGGCCATATTACACTGACCTTTAGAATTGAAATTACAGCTTACATTTGTGAAAGTAAAAACCATCACTTGGAATGAAACTAGCGTAATAAAATTCAATGCTTGATCTAATAGATTTCTAAAAAACAGTGTTCTGGGACTTCCAAAGGTTAATAGAACAAGAAAATGTATTAGTACCTGTCAGATATACTTATTATAATTGGATATACCATTCTACTGATTATTTAGTGATAGAGCATGTGCACAATTTGAGTACCAGTTACAACATGATTGTTGCTTACTCTTGGTCCTGACCAGCTTCGATACAAATTGTTACTTTTATTTATAGTAAACATTTGCTCTCTTATTAAAATACAAATACTGCACTGAGTCAAAAATAATTAATGATTATGAGGCAATGGTTCCATGCTGTACTTGGTCTTAATCCTATAACATAAGACACATCAACCCGTATTTTTGTTCTGGGGTTAAAACAATAACAAAATGTGCTATGTCTCACTTTGGAGGACTACACTTGGTCAAAGTCACCCTCTGCCACACTAATATTTGGTCGACATCTTACATCAGATGCCTAATTCTAGGTTGGCTTTATGCCCCTGCACTGATACTGACCTAAAAAGGTTAAAAATAAGACATCTCAAAATGTTTCTTAAAGACTGTCAGGCAATTTTACCTGAACATTACATACGATGATAGGGAAATAATTACTGATAATGATAAATCTGTTCGATGGATTAATAGGTTTTTCGTCTACAGCCTTGAGTTACTCGGGAATATGCTAGTCCTACATGTAAAACCTCAACGCTGGTATTTATGTTTTGGGTGTAGCACGTAGCATGTATGTCATACATGTAGGACCACAGGTACTCGACAAGAGCTTGATATTAAATTAAAAAAAACAATAATCTTAAGGAAAAAGTCATACAGAGTGACAAAAATACCTCAGATTACCCCCGTGATCCTTTCTGACCTTGGACCCTCTCTGTCATACTTTAATATAGTATGACAACGAGGGTCCGATGTCAGAAAGGATAATGGGGGTAATTTGATGTATTTTTGTCACTCTGTATGACTTTTTCCTTAAGATTATTGGGGGGTTTTAACATCAAGCTCGCGTCGAGTACCTGTGTGTAGCACTAGGGAAAATTAAACCAGCAAGTAGGTATCTGCTTTTTTTTTATATCTGACAGCAGATATATAAAAAAAAAGAGACCTATTTGTTGGTCTATAGGGAATATGCAAGATCGGATACTTCATCTCCGACAAATTGTCTGCATACATTTATAACTATGTTTTGTCAAGATATTGAAGAAAGAAAGAAAAATCAAACAAACAAACAAGCAGAAAAGAACCACACAAACAAGTATATAATCTTTGACAAATAACGTTGACATGCGATCACAACATACCTGCATTGATATAATTGATACAAATCCAATTTCCTCATTTGCTTTCACGTAAGTTAATTTGATAACTGGGGGGAGGTATAATGTTGTACTCAGTTTCGGGGGACGTAATTTAAGGAAGATAATGATAATATTAACGGACTTTGTACTTTTATAACTTTTATTTTCATAACGTCAATGCAAACTTTACTCACCACCGGTTATCTCCCTTAATTAACTTAATACTCATAACGAATTGTATAAATCAGCCAAAACGGATAAGGTGTGCACTAAAAACCACAATGCAGGATGTGAAATATTCAAAAGGTGTTTAAATTTCAAAAGTTGAGAAATATAAAGAAATATAAATAACAAATCAATAAGAAAAATAATTAATTAATCATGAAAGAATTCCATTATGATCATGTGCAGAAAGCAACAAATAAATCACGAAGTCATTCACATTCATTTGACTTCGTTAATATGCCTTTTCATTTGCTCGAAATTTAACTCCCTGAAGGAGAGCGCAAACACTTATTATGCATCTCATGTGGAGACATATCACTTTCCATTTTTTATTTTTTCTTTTTGTCACCCATTTGGCGTATCAATAAATAACAATGACGTCGATATTAAAATTAGTTTTCTTTAATGTTTGATATATCATAAATATGTTGCCAATGCGTAGCTAATTCTGATTTTAAACTGACTGAACACAACTCAGAAAAGGAGCTGTAAAAAACGATAAAGGATTAAAATTAAATTCAAAATCCAAGGAAGTGAGTCTGGTAACAGAGACTAGTTGGTCATCAACGACGACGACGACGACAACGAGAGAAAACGATTACAGAAACAAACAGCTACAGTAATATACAAGCACACATTTTCGGCGTCACACTCACGCTGTTGTTCTTTTCTAACGCTTGTTTGGTTATTTGAGACAGGATCTATAATTTCTTTTGCAGTAAATTTCAATCCGCGAATACATTCTTTTTTAAGGGTTGATTTTGTCAATTTGTTTTGATAAGGCTTCATAAAAGTGCAACAAGTTCATTTTTAAGCAAATTACATGAAAAATTCGATGGAGAAAATCATGAAGTTATATTTGGCTGTAAAAAAAACAGATTAAAAGGCTTTAAATTTATGTTGTATAATATTACGTTTCGTTAAAGTTTATATTGTAATTTTGAATGCTGGTGGGATTTTCTAGTGCCATCTATCGTCTTAGTTTTGGGTCACGTGATATATATATATATATATATATATATATATATATATATATATATATATATATATATATATATATATATATATATATATATATATATATACGGACAAACTGTGGCTGCTATGGTCGTGTGTTAGGAAACGGCGTAGAATGAAGATGTCCCCTGCAGTATAACTCTATAACCACCCCGCCAGTCGTATTCCTTGGGTAGGAGAGAGCCAGGCTTAAAATCTTTAAAAGTTACGGATAAAGTCTTTCGTCGACCAGCAGCCCAGCGCTACAAGGCTCGTCCAAGTAACGCAGAGGTTTTGCGACAATATACGTTTTGGACTGAGAATAGCTCTTCTTATGTCATTTCCCACTGTCGTCTTTCTCTATCGATCTCAAGCGGGTAACTTCGCGACTCTGCGACTGAGACAGCGACCCAGTCGGCGACAGAAGAAGACCCAGTCTGCGACCGTACGACCAGTTAGCGACTGAGACATAGTCGGTGGCCAGAAGAAGACCCAGTGTGCGATCCTGTGACACGGTGACCCCGACAAGTCTGCGACCCAGTCAGCGACTCTGCGACAAGTCGGCAACCCTGCGACTAGTCTGTGACCACGTCGGCGACACCTAAGAAGCCAGGAATAAGACGGTATCCCGATGAGGTAGAATCTGTCACATTCTGGAGTGCCTGTCATCAGACAAATTCAGCGGGATATCACTTCAACTATAGACCTATCATAAAGAACTCGAGATAGCGAAACTCAGTGCAGCATAGACGATGGAGTGTTCCGCTACAATACTATCAACATCAACGAACAAACTAGCATAAAGCAAACAAATATACTATCCACCAAAAAAGGAAGATAAAAAACATACATATTATATACTATCTACTCCAACGAACACGAAAGCATAAACACACAAATATACTATCCACACCAACCAACGAGCAAGCATAAAACACACAAATATACTATCCACACCAACGAATGTGCACGCAAACAAGCACAGACATACACAGCAGCAGCAGTAAAGGATGTTTAAAATCACTTTACACTACATTCATAGGAATTGGCAAATTGAATAGTCTCTCTTTTCTAGAGATCCGGTTAGCCCTGTGAATGGCAGCTTTTAGAACTCCAATTACAACTGGCTAATGCTGGCACCTTCCTGGCCTGGCACCACACACACACACCTCAGGCTTAACCTCACATTTAGGTCTACGCAAGAGGTGAAGCAAGTTCCCTTGCTTCATTTTTTTCTTGTTTCCTTTTCATTTATTTCTCCTCTTCAATTCTTTATTCCTCATCTATGGCCTCCATAGCCAGTTCATCTAAAAGGCGCCTGGTATATTCCAGATTCTAAAAGTTTAGCAAGTCTGCTGCTCAGTTTTAATGTTGACGAGTCAACGATGGGTAACTAGATGGATCATTGCGTCAAAGGAGTGTGTGTGTGTGTGATTTAGATTTTTTAACATAGTTTAAACAATTGTTCAGTCATATCGATACGATATCAGCAGTGTGACAGTTTATAGTGATGTCTAGAACTGGGGCATCATGCTGCAGACATGTGGCATGATGTACCAGTAACATTTACCTGATACGAGGCCAACCAGTCGGACATGAAGGTAACCATCTACTGACTGACTAGGTATTATAGTAGCGTATAGCACTCCTTTGCATTTTGCGACTGTTTGCAGCCCCAGGCAGGGTGGCTGCCCCTTTAAGAGGGCGCTTGGCCCCGAGCTGGGCCTTCACGTGGAGGAAGAAACCGAGATATCTGCGGAAGAACCACCGACCCACGAGAAGCTACTGGCAAGCTTTCTCACATATCCACATTCGCCGAATCTTATACTCGAACACACGCAACAGAGGTAAGATGGTTGTGATCCGTAACGGAGAGCGCTTTAGACCACTCGGGACCGCTCCGGTGACTTAGTTTTTAGAGCGTCCGCCTTGGATGCGGGAGGTCGTGGGTTCGATCCCCGGTCGATTCATACCAAAGACTTACAAAAATGGTACTAACATCTGCCTCGCTTGTCGCTCAGCATTAAGAGGTTAGTGTTAGGACTGGTCGGCCTGGTGTCAGGATAATGTGACTGGGTGGGACATCATGCTACATGTCTGCGGCATGATGCCCCAGTGCTAGACATCACTATAAACTGCCGCACTGTAGACATCGTAGCGATATGGCTGAAAAATTGTTAAAGCTACGTCAAAAATCATAAACACAACACACTTAGACCATTCGGCCAATTGGGGCCCGGTAAACATCTAATAACTGATTGACTTTGGCTTATAGTCGCTTATTCCTGGGACATTCGTGCGACTGTTTGCGGCCTTAGGCTGGGCGTATGTCCCTTTAAGGGGGCGCTTAGCCCCGAGCAGGGCCTTCTGGAACTTTGAAGAGGAAGAACGCGCCCCACGGAGCCCCCGGGGAAGAACAAAGAAGAAGAAAGAAGACAGGCGGGGAAGAACAACGATGGACAAAGGAATGGAACGCTGGACCTTCTGAAACTTTATTAAATCTGGTCAAATTATATCCAGTTTTTCCTACGGGAGTCCTTATGCCAATATTGTGTTAGCCACCTTTGCAATTTGTCGAATGCCTCCGAGTTGTGATTCTTGAATTTTGTGTACATGGCGTACTTATAAGGGCCTAAAATTTCCTTCAATCTGCTGGGTGGATGTCACCCATTGTGTTTTTTTTTTCTTTTTTACCACCGCATAATTTGTCTTGGTTTTTTAATTTTGACCGCCTTTTCAAAGGATCTTATTTTGTTCAAAAGGTCTTCAATGCCAAAGTGAAGACTGAGTTATGGTATATTTTGCTTGACAGTTGGCCGCGCGGCCCCGCACTGACATCTAATAACACCCTAACTTACCATTGCATGAAACGCGCCGACGTAAAAGATGGACCCACGTTGACTATTTTACTTTTGTACTTATTAACACAGACATGCACGATTGGACAAGACAGTGAAAACAAATGGTGGATTTTTGCTTTACTGCCAAAAGAAACGAAGTCCTTATAGACACAAATCTATTTATTATTTAAAATTTTAAAAGTGTTGGCAAATTGAATGAGTGTGTCTTTTCGAAAGTATTCGGTAGCTCTGAAAAGGTTTGAGTTTTTTCCACTGACGTAATCGCTTTCTTTTTAACAGTCTTAGATTGCGTCCTCGCCTGACAGCAGGCTTTATTATGTGATACGGTTTGCTTCTACGAAAAGAGAAAGAGAATTTTTGGTGTATACTCTACAGTCCACAAAACCTGTCTGGTTGTTGCTGTTCCTGTTCTTGCTGTTGCTGTTATTGTTTTTCTCTCTGCTTCTTCTGGAGTCTATATTTCTCAGTTCATTCAACTTTTTTCTTTCTTAATTTCCTCTCTTAAGACCTCTTCTATGAGGTCTTGGGCTATGGAGAACATCCCGACATTCTCTATCTCATCAGGTTTAGCCTGACACAATGTAAATGAACGTCAGCTTCGTTCAATGTAGCTAGTCTGGAAGGCATATTTATAGGTTGACGATTCGACAGACTGGACTGCGCTTTGGATTATAGTCGCTTACTGCCTGATCGGCATTCCTGCAACTAGTAAATTACGCATCGCCGGTAGGAACCGAACCTAGTCAGACTGGAGGTCCAAACGCTTTATATGGTACAAATGCGGACGCGATAGAACACATGCCTACTTGTATTTAGTGTCGGAACTTTCTGATAGCTTATCCCATGGTCAGGGAAAGAGAGAAAGTCATATAGCATATATTCAGAGTATTTTTGTTTAAAACACAGAACAGACACTTTTTTAAAGCACAACATTTTTATTCAATAAGGAACAAGGAAAAAGGAAAAATACTATCAAACAAATTAGTTTTGACAAGGTTGACATCGTTATGAAATCATGTGAGATTTCTATTGATGGAAGTCATGAGGTCATTGATGTACACTACGTTTCCTAGCTACAGACAAGAGATAACCATAACAGTCACAAAGCCATTCATATACTTTTGTATCGTTTCTAACAGAGAGACGACTAAAATAAGTTACTAATTGTTCTAAAAAATATCCCAGACTGCGTTGATGAAGAACATACACTCAGTATTGTAAACAAACAATGGAATATGCACCTAGTAATTTCATATTATTGTATCGTGTCGTCTGGGCATTTCTTCTCATAACGTCGATGATATGGTCATCCAAATGGGGTAATCCATACAAATCAAAATACTCTACACAATTCTCTTGGGGAAAATTGATGGCTATCCAGCGAGTTCCTTGAAGATGACTGTCGACAGTGTTGATGACATAAGCTTGATGGCTTTGAGGTTTGTGACGGTGAAGTTCCTCTGTGGCACACAAGACAGATTTCCAAGAAGCAGTATACGAACTGTTGTTCAAAAAGTAATAAAGTTCCCAAGTATCCATTTTTTCTTGTTGGTTTGTTTCTTATTTAACAGGTAATGATAAGTCATCATTTCAATTCTAACATTTTGCTTGAAATGATCTGACAAGTAACCGTTTCTTCGCATTGTTTCCAAACTCTGGGCTAAGATAGCCCTAATGTAATAGATCTCTTGAGTAGACAATGGGGAAGAGGGTAGTAATGATCAATCAAGCCTTTATACCACCAATGCACCTTTACTGCTTCTAAAATGAGACTCTAAGCTTCGTCCCGATACTCGTCCAAATTTTTTTCTTGGTTCATCATAAGACATTAAATATCGTATTGCATTACCATCAATTGTGTTTTTTGTTAGTCCGAGAATACAAACTCGGTTATCTTGTTATAAATGGTGTCAGAAGTGGGATTATTCGATCTTACAGAACATTATTGTTTCATTATTAGTGTATGACTTTTGTGTGTTTCATACGCTCTTGACAAGGCAGTAGGTTAAGTAGCCATTTTACATTACTTTGTTTATTGTACATAGTTCATGTGGCTGTTGCCTTCCGAAAAGAAAAATACGGTTTATTTGTTAAAAGTGCAAAGATTTCACCTTTTGACATAATATTGCACTTTAGATTGGTTTGTTGTATCAGATTTTCTGAAATGTCATCAATGAAAGAACTCGTGGAACTGTGAAACAGTTTGGCTACGAGTGGGAGTCTCTGAGAAATTGTCTTCATGTAAAACAGGCCAGAGGTTAAAAGAGAGGGAAGTAGAAAGGGAGAAATTAAAGATAGGACGACAATTAGAGCGGGAAAGAGGCGAATTCGCATAAAGACAAAGAGCTTTCGCAAAGGAAAAGATAGAACTAGAAAAATAAGCCGAAATATAAAATATAGAAAGGGAAAAACAGGCTATGATAGAAGCCTTAGAGATGGAAGATAGAAATCGGGACAGGGAAGATCAAGGAAATTCTGAGCTATTGAAAAGCAAAAGAGAGGGAAAACGTGATTTTAAACTGAGCGGTCCAAAACTATCCCCATTTGAAGACGATAAAGATAACATGGACAGCAATCTTAACAGGTTTGAAAGGTAGGCTACTATACAAAAATGGTAAAAAGATGATTGGTCGCTTTGTCTTAGCGCGCTGCTCAAGGGTAATGTTTTAGATGCGTTTCATCGTTTATTCGTGACGGATTCGTTTAATTACCTCGCGTTGAAAGAGACACTTCTGAAGAAATACGAGCTAACCGAGCAAGGGTTTCGCAAGAAGTTTAAATATGTCAAACGCGAGAGAGGCGAAAGACATTCACTGAACTCGTCAGTAGGTCGTGCAATTACTTGCAGCGATGGGTGAAATGTGGTAAGTTGTGAAGACATATGAGAGACTTATAGACCTTTTGCTTCGTGACCAGTTATTAACAACTTGTGGCACATAGTTGTACTTATTATTGAGGAAAAGATCTTTCACGAGTATATAAGATATGGCCACGCAGGCAGTCCTATTTGCTGAAGCAGGGGATGTTACCAGAACGTCATCTTGCGAGACGGAAAAAGCGGTAATCAGGCTAGGGACCAAACACCCAAGGAATCTGAAATAAGATAATAGAAATAGCCAGGGAATGTATAAGGACAAGCATTGTTTCACTTGCAAGGAGTAGGTTCATATCTCACCCAATTGTTCAGAGCGAAAGGGATCAGTCCAGATAGTTACAGTAGCCATTGGAGGCAGACGGTCGATAAATGTAAAGCTCGAGTTTCCCAGCCAGCTAACCGAGAGAGAGAGT